TAGGATCTTCCGTGGTCTGTCTGCCATACTTCGAGATGTTATATGAGAAGTAATGCGGAGTAGGAGGAAGAATGTTTTGCCTTCGGCGATCCTGTCATAGCTCTGGGTTCCGTCGCCTCTACCTGTGACCCAGTTTCGATCCCTTGTCAGGTGAAGTCGGATTTATGTTGATTCGCAAAATGGGATTGGGACTGCTCGACGAGTCGGCTTCGTGAATATGGAGCAGATGTATCGTGGCAGGGTGAGCTGATATCATTTTAAGGAGGCCCTCCAGTCCGATGTCTATGATCATAGCGTTCGAATTTGCCGCTAGATGCATGTACCTACCCGGATTCCTCCGCTCGTAATCTTCAGTGCTGAAGCACAACTCACTCGGGATGAAATTGATCCATAAACAAAATGGCCTCCTGTGGTCTGCTGATGACTGTGAAAGGACCGTCAAATGCAGCTTCCAACGTCGGTTATAAGAGACTGTTTGGTGTGGTATGATTTGAGCTCTGATGTTTGAACTATTCGTTTTGCTAATTATCACTTGCTGAATAATGAAATTCCGTTTTAATTGGAGGACGTTTCTCTGGAGACAAGGCACCGGGATTTTACTTCCGATTTGCGGGTAATTTGAATGAGCATTATGGGAACTGATGGACTTGTCGTGCTTGGCCGTCGAGATTCCCAGATCTAATTTCGTTTGATTTATTTTTGTGCAGTCTTATGGAAGTGACGGTCTGTAATACCAAACTATAGACGAGAGTTGAACTCTTGCTTCAAATTAGGAATGCTGTTGCTTACGTCTATACGAGAACACCTCACAGTGATGCCGTGGGCAATCTACTGTGTTTGAACCGAGCGAGGTTGTAATGTATCTCATGAAATGTCCAATGAATCAAGCTTTAGAATATTGTCTTGTGTTTTCACGTATGTGCACTTTAAACTGCTGGGAGTAGAATCAGTGCTGTACGAACTTTGCTTCCGCGACATGTCCCCCTGGTTTCTGTATCATGGCGCCTGTTCCCGTCTTCGCGGCGTATTTCATAAATCGCTGCCATTTGACTGTATGTATGTGCGTGTATCCTTCCCATTTTAAATAGGTAAAGACGTTGAAAAGTGTATCCCTCTTTTGTTGCTAGGAATCATCTCGTTATACACGTTCCCGCATTAAAGAAAACACGCAACAATGGAAGGATTGTTAGACGCGTCTCTCTGTATATCCCCTGTCATTGCTAGTAAACGGCTCGATAAAGAGGTTCACGTAACAAAGAAATGGAGGCAGTAATGTACCAGCGCTTGAGCAATGGACCATGAATCGGAATGAATTACAGCGTAACTGCAGATTAGCAGAGAAGAGGAGAGAGCAGATAATTACCGTAATAATATACCGGATGTTTAAAAAGTGTGTGTACTTTCAAATATAGCCAGGAAAACTTTATCGGTAAAGTAATTGCCTATGTACTGGGTAACTGGAGTTCATTTCCTAGCAGCGGCTACAATTTTTTCCTTGCAGTCATGTGAATTTGAAAAGGAAAGCTCTCTCTCCGGAAATAAACCGGCCGGAGCGTAAATTCCAATCTACCCCATTCGCTCCTCCGTTTGCAACGAGTTGAGATACGGAGCACATATGGACATTCGCGACTTTGTCTTGGAGCTAGTAACTGTTCTGGCTATGGCAGTGCCCTTGGGGTGGATGGACGTGGTGGTGAGAGGAGACTGTTGGTTATTCTAAATCCTTGTGGTGGCCTTGTTTGACTCCGTTTTTTCATCTCCTGCGGGTTACCTTAGGTTTGCTTTTTTAGCTCGCCGAGCCCTAACCCTTGATCTATTATCGTTTTCAGAGTTATAATTTTTTTATTTTTTCTTTTGGACCGCCGGTCACGGTAGCCGAGCGGTCTAAGGCATGTACTGCCCTCGCCCGCTCGCTTGCTCAGAAACCGGGATCGTGTGTTCTAATCCCACAGAAAGCGGGGATTTTTGGTATTCGTATGTGTATGTGTTTTCCCTTGTTTAAGTAGAAACCTTGCAACGAGCTGATCACTCTTCCAAGGAGTCCTACCTGCTGTAAAACGACAGAAATGAAAAACGGTCTCGACACCATAGCGTATAAAAGGAACGGATGTGTTGCAGATTCATCACTGTTTGTCTTCTTTATTTGTTACATGCGCATTGGTTCTGTTACTAAATTATGCCCTGCTTTGTACTCCTGAACTGGAGACGATAAGAAAGAAACACGGAAGGAACAGTTTGTTGCCCCATTTCGCCATAATTTATGTCATGTGGAATTGGCAATATACACGAAAGTAGCACTTGTGTTGCGCCGAAGATCATAATGAGCCGTGTGAAAGCAGCTTCCAACATTGACATCGTGTGCCGGTGAATGACTGGTGTCATCTGATCATAGACCTTTTTATTGGACCATTTATTCTTTTAAAGACATTGTTGCCAATTGTCGGAACTCTCTGAGGAACCAACATCCCCTTTGCCTGGAGACAAGGCTGCACATTTTTGTCGCGGTATTTGAATCAGAGTTAAGATATTGAGGGATTGGGCGTGCTCGGCGAGAACTCCGGATCTCACTCGAACTCGTTTCCTTTCGTGCAGTCTTGTGGACGGGATGACCTACAGGACGACAGGACGGCCGAGAGCGGAACTCTGCGTCTAACTGTGAATACTGCTGCTTGCATACAAGAACGGCCGAAAGCAGTGCTCCGGGCAGCAAACTCTTTTGTTTCAGTCCAACGAGCGTGTGCCCCAGAACTGTAGCGAACATTTGAGGCAGTTAAATTCAGATGTAGCTCATAAAGTGCACCAACAAATTAATCTGCTTAATTCCGTTGTTTAGTTTTCCTGCGCGAACCAAAATCACAGTTCTTCATCTGCTGGTTATAGAACTGTTGTAACACAGCAGCACTTCCAGAATGTGTTACTGAATGTGTTAGACCCGTAAACATCCTGCATTGCGTCAAATGTTGGGGCCACTCGTGAATAATGAAAGTGAAACTAAGTGTAAAGAGCTGATGGTGGCCTAATTTCACGTACTGTCCCGGAATTTTCCTGGGAGGTCTGAGGAAAAGCACAAAAACCTCAGTCAGTGTACTGGTCTCAAGACCCAGATTTCCAACTAGAGCCTACCAAATACGAGTCTTGACATTCTGTATCCATTGGATAGGAGGTTGGGTGCACCCCAGGGCCGGCCTGGACAACATTGAGAAGTGAAAATTCGTGCCATCACCGGGACTCGAACTCCGACACCTTGGTCGTCCAGCACGTAGCCAGTGGCTATACCGACTACGCTACCCCGACCCTTTCACTTAACATAAGGCTATTTTTAGTTCCTCACATGAGTTACACTCAGATTTTGGCCTTGATGTTAAGACGACATCGTAGAAGCGTCTGTATTCTTTTTCTTTGCAGAGGTCTTCTGATTATAGGTAGTAAGGGAGACAGATGAATGTCCTTTTTTATTTTGTGAAGAGCGTATAAGTAAGACGTGATGGTGAAAATGTAATTAAAATTGTAATGAAATTCATCATTGGAATCTACTCACCACAGTCATGAAACTGAAATATAAATCTAGGGCAACTTCAATAATAATATACTGGTGTTATGCAGGATTTCATATGCTTTTAAAAGGCTGTTGCAGATTAAAATGGTCAGTGTGTGGCGAGGAAGGATATCCAGTAACGTGTATGTCGTGTGTTGTAGAATGGGGAAACGGTGGTAATTAGACAGGGAGTTCGCTGATCTGCAGGGAGAGGAGAATATTAGTTTAGGATATGCGAGAAACGAGAGGGCTATTGGAGAACTGGACATGCGTTTTTGGGGAAAGAAGATGTCGATAATGAAAAATGGATGCAAGTGTTTTGTTACTGAATTATGAAACCGTATACTCGGTTGCTAACAAATACTTGACTGGAGGTAAAGTATTTTTTTTTCATTTCGTCGTCGGTTGCTCTGTGTATGTGTGGACATTCTTAACGTTTCGGATATAAATTCTGATTACATCATCAGGAACAATATATAAGTTAATGTTTCGAGACAACACGAGGGGATTTGAAATCTATGATGATCCTGTATGTGTGGATCCGTCCGTATTGGCCAAGGTAGAGCGCAAGCCCACGTTTAGAAATACTGTATTAACATATATTGACATAAACTCGCCCAGGCAACAAGGAGAAGGCAATAGATACCTCATGTACCTCTCCAGCCTTTCATACATCGGAATGTAACAGACCAAGAACCGAAGTAAACACAGCGGAAACGTAAAACCGGGGAATAATTTTTCGGCATCCATTAATGTTCATGACAACGGACACTTTTGTGACGTGTGGCATGACAGTCACAACACAGCAAATAGGAAAACATCAAAGTCAGCGTACAGCTGTGGCTTTTCTACATGTTTCGGCTACTATCGGCTTTCCATGCAATACGGACAAATCTTCTTAATGACGAGGCAGCATTACACAATTCATTAATTGCTACATCATGGGCCTCTCTTAAAATCTTCTATATAAAGTAATATCGAATTTCCCTATTGTCTATGGAAACGCACTCAAAGTATATCTAACGACTGATTCAATGTTTTTGAAAACATCATTAATATTTTATCTTGTTATAATACTTCCAATTTTTTATTTTTATATAATCTAATCTTTTGTATTTTTACATAAGCAATTTTAAAATTGTACGATTAATAGTGTTATATCCATCTTATGATTGCATTTAAATGGTAGATTTTTGTTGACATGTATTTGCCTGATGATGGCCGATAGTGGCCGAAACATGTAGCAAAGCCACAGCTGTACGCCGACTTTGATGTTTTACTATTTGCTGTGTTGTGGCGGATCATTAAAGNTACACAGCAGTGTCAGATTTTATTGATATCTGTAAGGAGACTGCACGATACACGTAAAGGTAGATTTTATTCCTTAAGTTGTGCATATTTCCTGCAGTGATGCAAAATCGAAACATTTATAAGAATTGTATGGTTTTTCATAATGCTTTGTTTGTGTTTGTTGTTGGTGTTTCGTCAGCTGCACTGGTTACAATCCCCGGGCTGTAGGCTTACATCTTAACGGCAGGACCTGAAATCATGGACACAAATTATAATTCTTAAGCAATACCGTAGAGTACATTAGCGATTATGTAGAGAAATGTGTGATATTTTCAGAGATGAATTAATAATGAGATTTTTTCCTGACTGCGCATTTGATGTGCGAAATCAGATCATATATGTTGAATTTTTGAAGAGAAATCAACGTAGATAGTGTCTGAAAGTTTAGATCCCGTTGTAATTTACGTAGTACGACCATTAATTTACACGCAACTCAAATCAAGTGTAAGTCTACCTACAAATGTAGCAGTATTGAAGGTTTATATGGTTCAGTATGATTTGGAACATTTCTTAGTTGAGAGTTTGAAGGAAGAATAGAAGGATAAATTTTATGTGACTCCAGTTTGATTGGTAACACTGTCTGCGGCGAGACGAGCTATGCAGCAATGCATAACATCCAGATAAATGCAATGGCAAAGAACACATTCGCAAAAATTAACCTCTTTCTTCCCACTTGTGCTGCGTATCTCCCACAACATATACTTGAATATGATTATGGCTGAGGCACTAATGTCACACTTGGCGGATATATGGTCTGATACACTGCATAAAATTAATTACAGTACACTTGGAAATTACTTCCGTTTGGGTCGGAATTTACGCCCGGATCATAAAGAAATTGACAGTGTCTGCATTAAGAAATATCGTGTATTCGAAATCTCAGCAGAGAGCACGTGGAATCTCGGTCATAAATTAACAAATTCGGTGAATGTTATTTGCGGAGGTTATCAGTTACACATTCATTAGATCCTTGCAAAGTGTGGTAGTAAATTGTGACTTACTGTTTCTGTTGAAGACCAGAGATATTGTTTTCTTCAATCCTGTTCCAGTACTGGCTCTTGAATCAACTTCTAATCAGCATCTAACTCGTAACTGGTCTCTGCATAGGATTAGACAGTCTGGAAGAAGTGAAATGCAAAATTAAAAATTAAAAACGTGTGCTTCACAAATACATGTTATAAACGTTGGACCCTGTTTGGCCAAGGAAAGGTGCACTTACAAGATAGCAATAAAGAACACTGTCCAATTAAAATTTCGCGAAAATATTTTCGTTTTCTGGTGA